TATTGTGACTCGCTAACGCAGCTGTTTTTCTGGTTTTGTAGAATCTGGTAGTTAAATTCGGCGATGAAACCCATGGGAACATAATTTAAACAGCGGGTGTCCATTACTAAAGTAAGGTTCTCTTTGAGTGATCAGATTTTTGTTAAGAGCGTTAGAGTAAAGTTTGCCTGGAGGAATTTCCTCTACCAAGTCCGTGTCGGTTGTATTGTCTTACCTATACCCACATTCGAACGTATTTTGTCAGATTGTTCCCTCAATAAAGGTGTTGAAATTCGTTAAATCGTGACAGAAGGCGGGGGAACATTTTACCGTGCAACCTACCTAACCAACGACGTAGAAAATTGCGTTTAATCTTGTCTAGAACATTTTTTTGTTAAAGATAGAAATCTGACAATTTTGCCCCAAAGCGCAAATGGTATTGGTTCAATTTTCATCTTATATACCTTAGAGCTTAGTTCTAGAATGACTTTTGGAGTCGGTTTAAATTTGAAATAGCGCCAGTGCTTTCGGATTTGATTACGTGATACAGGGTGAGGGATAAAGTCTCAGATAGATTTCAGTGTAGAAAGTATATCTATACACCTGTATATATGGTATATCTTATATATACTGTATATCCCGTGCAGGCATAGGAAGGTAGGTAATCTACGAACTGTTATCAAGTTATCTTTCTGCAAACGTTAATTTACTTGCATGATATTCTGTACATTATCTCCAATTGTTTCTATTAATGCAAATTATATTTTATTTAAAGCTAAATAAATGTATTATAGATTAAACTATTCAATTCTCGTCGCGACGAAATAAAAATTTTGATTTTTCTGCTCCTTAAAATCGTTAAAAATACGAAATTTTTCGTAATAATTTTATAAATTTCGATGAGTTATATTAACGAATCTATTGGAAATTTATACTGCTTAATGGGTTTATCGTTTCACGTCGTAACTTTGGATTAAGGCTATAACTGATGTTCAGGTTTACTAGCTTTCGTTTTTCTGATGCTATTAGATAAGTTTATAACAGCAATAAGCAACATAAATTGTGGATTTTTCTTTGCTGAAATCTTCTACTGTCTAAATTATTCTATTTTAGGCCTTCCTTCAATCTCCCGATACTCACGATGATGTAGGATCGGAAGATAAAGAGATATCCCCCTTTATAATTATCTAATATTTATCTTTTATGTCTAGATTTATTTAATTTTCTATAAATAAAGCTTATCGTAACAAAATTCCGTATCCAGTTGATTAATAATTGTTATAAATGATTGCAGAAGAGAGAGAAGTTTGATAAGAAAAGCAATATCGGGATTATCACTTACGGCTAACTTATCGTTTCATACTGTTAAGTTATGAGACTTTTTCCTAGTATTAGAAATTTATTATTTGACACGAGGGTCGAAGGAAGTGAAAGATTCCATTGTGTAGTGGTCATCCTCTTCCCAATGCGTTCAAATTCTGCCTTTGAAACTGTATCTGTGGATAAGATTTCCTTAAAGTATTGCTCCCAAGTGTCGGATGGTATAGAACTTGTATTCTCTTCCAGTTTCTTTGCCAGGATAATCCACAGTTATCCTGGTTCTTTCAATCTAATAGAAAAAAATTTCCGTTCTATATTAGGTCTTATTTTTTCCCCGATTCTTTACTTATATTGTTTTTCGAGTCGAAATAGCCATTCTTCTAGTCTACATCTATTTTCGATTTCCAGTAGTGATCTAATATTTCTACTTTTCTTCCAAAATTCTTACGCTTTTTTGTTCGAAGTTATTGGAAATGTTAACGATTTGAACTCTCTTTTTCTCCCTCTCTCTATTCATCTCCCCCTTCCCCTGTCTTCTTCTCCCATCTTTTCCCCTCCCTCTCCCTCTCTCTCTCTTCCTCTTCTATTTTCCTTCCTTTCTCCTCTCTCTTCCTTTTTTTTTTCTTTCTTTCCCACCTCTCTCTATCTTTTCTTTTTNATCCCTTTAGTTAATAATTAAATGTTTTAATCATTAAACATTAACTGGATTTTTAAGTAATTAAAACTTTTTTCCCTTTGGTATTTTAGTGCCTACGCCGTACAGCTGTACGGAGAACGGAAGCCTTTAAAGAATGGTACTGTACAGTACATAACGCTACAATATCTTTTTAATGTTTGTTATCATAAATAAGAAATGTGATCACGTGTTATGACATCGGTAGGCCATTACACACCTTTTTATCGATTTTAAATAACGGTTTTATCTCCAGGTTTCGTTTTAAATAAATATTTTAACATATAATACAGTTCCTGTTATATATATAGTGTATATTTTTAAATTCAATAAATATATCTCAACTCGGCTATCAGTTAAAGGTGCAAAATTAAGTCACGTAACTCGCCTCGGTACGTATCCAATTTGTCATGTTTTCGCTTATATTCGACCAAGTTAAAGCTACTTTAATGGCCTGTCTGTCCGTATGTCCTATCAGATATATCTCTATCCCCCTTTAATAACTCAAATTTTATGAATCGATCTCAATTAAACTTGGCAAGGGGCTAATGAGTGACATAATAGGTTTCCCACACTCTGTCCATTTGTCTATCTGCCATTTTAATTAATTTAATTCTAAATAGTGTTACCTGTAGAACTTCATGTTTTCATTTACATAAAATTTACACATGTATCTATAATTAACATATTAAGATTAAGATTTATCCTCTCTCAAATCCTTATAACTATCGTATTTAAGGTTTCCATCTTTAATTAAAAAGAGAGTCGTAACATGGAGCAGGAGGAGCATTTTATCACGCGATGCCGATTGGAAGCACATGCAACAGACCCAAACAGACCCCCGCTCAAAGATATTGTGCAGACTTTTCCTCTTCAAAACTGTGCTGGTTAGCATCAATACTAAATGAGTTTAACTTGTAGCTAGTGTGCTCTTATCTAAAATGTCAGTAAACATAAAAGTGTTGCTCTTGCTCTTGTTGTTGTTCAGCTTTTAGAAACTACTGTACTTAAAACTAGCCTTTATTATATATGTATATTTAAAAAAATTATTTTTAAACAGGTAAAGTTAAGTTTGCAACCTATCTTCAGTTAACAGCTGTTGTATTTTCCACAGCAGAAGTCGTTTCTTAAGCTTGGAAAGGGGGGAAGGGAAGATCTGTACATTAAATTCTTTCGATTTCTTCAATGCAACGTCTCCTTTAGTAGATTTGAACATGAAGTTATGCAACTATAGGATTTACATTTACTCTTTAACAAGATTTAAAGCATGCTTATCAAAAGAATGATGAGATATCCGAGGCCTGCGTGATTTTGGTATCCCTTAGGGTCGCACATTCTTCGAATTTTTGATTTCTATCCTATAAGACTAAAAGAGTGAAATCCAACATTTGCACTCGCCACTACATTTTTATTTATTTTTTTATTTTTTAAAGAAAGAAAAGCTCTTAAGCTCGAGGATATTTGGACATCTAATGCGTTTTAGCATCCTGAAAGGTTGCACATGGTTGGAGAATTTTTGATCCTATCCTAGAAAAACCAATACCGAAATGGCCTTTAACTTTATTCCTTTCCTATTGGATAAATTAATTATTTAATCTTATAAAATCTTAAAATATTCGGTGTATTTTTTTGGGTTGTTTAATATAAATTATAGGCTATATATATATTTCCTATCGAAAATAATAATCGATGTATTTTTAGTGGTAGTTTTTTAACGCACGTAAACCAAATATTGTCTTTAAAAAACGGAATCTCGATCGTGTAGTAGACTTTGCTAAAAATAACAAAAATTCCTTTAGTTTCTACATAATAGAACGGACAGATGGCTCGAAAGATCATTTGAAATCTTGCCAAAATTTCCAAAAACAAGACAGCATTCATCCAAACATGTCCGGTTACGCTGATAGTTTTATGTACTGTACGTGTACGCTTGTAGCAAAGTATTACAAATTCTAACTTGAGCCGTTACGATAACAATGAAGACCATTGTAGTAGATGGCACAGGAAATTTGAACAAGTGTAACGGAAATTTAGCTTTGCAATCCGTTTAACTTTATAGTTTACAGTTAATTCTAGCCATCTACTTAACATGTCCGGAGGTAATTACTGCAAAATAAGACCGATTCAGATAGGGTAACATTCGGGTTTAGCTAGATAAAGACGTTGGAACGGAGTAAACACACGCGAAAAATTCATCGAAAATTTGAAAAGGAAAAAATTATTAATAAATATTAATATATAATCAAACGAAACGTGGTAAGGGTGGAGGCCCGGCAAGTCGGATTTAAATATAACAGCGTGAGTGTACCCACAACAGTTGTTGACGTTCGGTCACGAGTAGAGGGCCCGTAGATGCAATTAGTCACTTCTGGCTTTGTCATGTCGAAGCCACAGGAGATCAAAAGACGTCATAAGGCTTGTACTCCCACCGGGGGTGAAGATTGATCTGCGAGTGGGATATAGTCCCGGGTCAAGACCGCACCTTCATTTGCACGGGTGACCTGCGGGGTGGAGGGTGTTTCTGCTACCGCAATTCGCTTCTCGTCCCGTGGCACGTGGCCGCAACACGCTCCACTCGACAATAAAAAAGAAAGAAAGAAAAAACCCTCCTCCCGTCCCCGAACCCGGTTCACCACCCGGATCGAATTTTGAAGCGGCACCGAAGTTACCCATTTTTCTGGCAAACGATACTTGTACTCAGGTTAAAGTCCTGTTGATTGGAGAATCGCCCGTATACAGTCAAGCTGCGATGCTCGTTCTTTTGACTACGTATTGATTCAGTCCTCGTCAACCCAGTCGGTGGTACGAAATGGGTTGGTACGAGGAAATTTAACTCCGACTCTCTTCTCCCCCGCACCCGACCCGTTAACGCATTCTACGCTTTACAACGGTGGCCGGGGGGAAGTAAATTGCGGTTTATAAAATGCCAAGCCCCATCTGAGCGATAGAAGGAGAGCGAGAGAGAGCAGCGAGTAGAAGGGAAAATCGTACGGTTAAGCTGGTTTAAAACGAAAGAGAATCCTCTTACCTTCACCGTTGGTTTTGTATTCCCCTGGTTGTAGCTTCTTCCGCAGAAATGGGGAATATAAAGCCACAGATCGGGAGCAAAGTTGAGCTCCGAGCGAGCGTCCTTCTACATCTAGCGATCACTCAACACTGACAGTTCTCCGCTGATTCGCGGCAGCGATTGTGTTGCTCTCTAGTGGTCGTTCCCACAGGCCAATTGAATGTCAGCCTGCTGACTGCCGCACGCTTCGCTTTCTAATTGGTTACTAACCGAAGACATTACGTTGACGTCCTCTCCTTAAAAAATGTATCGTCCGTTTCTACGTATCTTTTACGCTTTGATTCTTTTTTCTTTCTTTCTATCTTTCTTTTCTACCGTTTTTTCCCTTAACTTCAATTCCGATTATTGATTGCAATTTGCTTTCTGCTTTGTGTTTTCCCGACTTATTCGCATTTTCTGGAATTTAACTATTTTCTGCTTTGATTTTCTACTTTTTTTTCCTTTCTAAAATATAACATTTGCTTCTTCTATTCCGTAAAATATGATATATTCCGTCCTCGTTTTCTGCTCGTCTTTCTACTTCCATTTTTCTGCTTTTCTTAACTAAAATACACCAGAAATCTTCTTCTCCGTCTTCTTCTTTTTTAAAACTTCTCCTTAACAAAATTTTCTTGGACTAAAAGTATAAATTTCAAATTATCTTGGCCTAAATCTCGTTACAAATAGCTACATTTATAGGGGTAGAAAAATGTTATCGCGACGTCTACAAATTAACTACCAGGCCTTTTTTTATTATATTATTTATAAAGAAATAAAGAAAAAAAGAAAAAAAATTGTAAAAACTTACGTATTAGCACTTTATGAGGCACTATTAAGGGGTACGGAATGAAATAACGCATAAAAAAAAAGAATTCGAAGGTCTACTAATTCTTTCCCAAGTACGAAAATGCCGTGTAGAAAAATCATAGCAGTATGTTAGAGAAGAATTTTCACGTGACAGATTCCTGTGACAAAAAGTTGAATCGGTCTACAAGGAATTCAGACGACATAATTGAGGTCATAATGGGAAAATAATTATAGTTGATCAGCAGCACAATCGGATCAGCAATTAGGACTATAAACTCTCATATCTCATTAAACTTACTTAGAATTTTCTTATGTGTATATTTATCGTCTCCCATTTTTACCAATAATATCTATCTAGTTGCCTATAATTCTGGGCCAGACTGCATACCGAAGTTTCTTACAGATGCCAATTTGGCATAAGTACTACCGCAGTAATAAAAGAAGAAAAAATTCGGAAATTGGTAAACGCCTTCGTTCTTTGTTAAAACTTTTGCCTTCTATTTTTAGTCTTTCCCTTGATAGAAAATTTTCTCCGTTGATGAATAAAGATTCTGCTTAATATTTTATGTATTAGATTAGTCACAAATCTAGGTTATAAGCTCTAACAGAGCATAAATATATTATTATTTTTTTAAATTATTATTTATACAAAAGTAAAGAATAAATATATATATTTTTAAAATATATATATATATATATATATATATAAATCTGTATGGCAATAGATCATGCCTACGGGCACAATCACCCCAAAACGACTCTATATAATGTGTATTGTGAAAGTGCATGTGCCAGAACATAAAGTGTAAAGGTAACATAGCGTGAATTCTCCAAAGAGGGGGAAGGAATAAAATTTATATGGGCATTATATAGATGCATTACTGCCCAAAGTTGTGGTCGAGTTGGTGGATTTTTACACTTGGTCGAACATGGGCAGAGTCGTACGCGTCAGGTGATTTATAAGCGTGCACTGTTGTGAGGAGGCACGCATGAGTCCATGGCTATGCATTTGAAAAGAAGCACAAGGTACGCATCGATGATTTTACCCAGTTTGCTTTTATTATAATATTCGATATAAAAAATACACAGTGAGATAGAACCTAAACACACACACACACATACAAGTGCGAGCTTCGGCCATTCCCATAGTAATAAAGCTAATTAAAATTTGATGGAAACTCATTAACAATATTAACACTTTTAATTCGCATACATACGAAATCATTAAGGTAAAAAGGGTATTTAAATTATTCATAGACAAAACACAAACGAGTACACACGCCATCGGAATATTCAAATAAATTGCATATATCGTGGGAACTGTAGCATCTTTTGATACAATTTTGAAAATGGAGGTTGGAGAGAAAAAAAAAGGGGGAGTCGAGTTAAGAGAAAAACCATTTTCCTCTTTTCTGTGCAGGAATTATGGCAAATCGTGACGTTGCACTTGTTGTTAGGTGGCTGCACTGATAACACGACTTGTGCTGAACTATTACTTAATGTTAACACAACAGAAAGAAGGGGGAAAAAAGGTAAGAAAAGAAAGATGTGTATCTGCCATTTGACTGTACGTTCAAAATTTCGCACGTCACGATTTAAACATTTATTATTTTTTTATTTTTTGTTTTCCATCCTTCCTACCAAAAACTCTGCGGGTCACGTGATCGGTAGGACATTACCCAAAAAATTACACATAATATTATAAATGGAACTATTCAGAAGAGAAAAATGTTTATGGCACAGATTTTAAATATAAAATTATACTTTTTTAAATTCGAATTTACTAACAAAATATTTATGAAGGTGCATTTTGTTATTACAATAGAATTCTCACTTAATTTCTATATTGATTGTGTTACGTATCAAATATTTATAGACTTATTACAGACATTTTCTTAAAAACTTAAATATTTTATTTATAAATAAATTAAAACTCTGGCCACTTTACAATCGAATTTTCACTTTTTTTTTTAATTTAATAAATATATAAAAATTTTAAGCAAGTTTTTAAGCAATTCAGAAGCGTAATTCTATAGTCCTACGTATATAATAATAATTATTATTAATTTAAAAAAATAAAATAAAAATTGTTTCCTTGTAGATAAGACGATAAATTATTTAAATCTAGATCTTTTCTTTTGTATTTTGTATTTCTTAAGGTTATGTTTATCAGTTAATATTCAAGAAATAAAGAAAAAAATAAAAGAGTTATGTGACATTGGATTGCAAAGCAGAGGATCAAGAGCAAAACCACATCAGTATAAATGGTAAGCTTCAATCATTTTGAAGCTTATGTAAAGACGGTCGGAAAGAAAAATAAACATTATTAGAAATGACAGATAAGCTTACGAGTTTTTAAAGTATAGCGATAAATAACTCGTATAAGATACTTTTCTGTTAAAAATGACTTGTCAGACTTAAGGACAATTTTTGTAATTTTTTTTTTCTTCTTTTCCTAAAGGACAAATGCNAATTTTTTAAGCAATAAAAATGATTTTATAGTCGGTGTTACCGGGCAACGTTTATCGTATAATTATTGTGTTTAGTAAAAGATAAAAATGAAAATAAGCATTTAATTAAATTTTCATTAAAACAATTACGAATTAATCTAATAATGGTGTATTATCTTAAATTTTTATTAAATTACACAATGTCATCTGCGAAGAACGTATAATGTTTAGTTATTATTAGAGAAGTGCGATCTATAAAGGCAGTCACGATTGTTCGCATGACTATGTGACTTTCAATTATAGAACAGTCCACTAGATACATCTAGACGTCATCATTCATCTGAAACGTGAAGTCATAGAAAGTCATTACGAATTTTCCTCTTTAGTCTAACTGATGAATAAATTTCTACTTTTTCTTATTTAAAAAAAAATAATAATAATAAGGATGCTATTTTTAACACAAAGA